CACCATTACAGACACCTGAAACTGCACATCCCTGCATGGAGCAGGGGCTCAGTATGCCAGGGGCTGACCCTTGCCTGGGCATGCCTCCTGTCACTAGGGTCACACAAGGTCTGCCTCTATAAAAAGGGGCAGTGAAGACAGACCCAGTGGGATGCCCTCTCCATCTGGACCAACACTATGCCACACCACCTATCCACCCAGAGACCCTTCAGGCGACCCCCCTCTGGACAACACCTGCTGGACAAGGTTTTTGTCTGTTGTAAAAGGTTGTGCTTTATGTAAAAGAGCTGTATGACTGCTCAGAGCTCCAGTATGAAACTGGGGATAGGCCTATTGAAAGTCTCTGGATTAGGGTTGGGGGGGGAGGGGAAGAACAACAAGGGTGATGTCATAGTGCGTATCTGCTATATACCACCAGACCAGGAGGAAGTGGTGGATGAGGCTTTCTTCAAACAGCTAGTGGAAGTTTCCTGATCACAGGCCTGGTTCTCATGGGGGACTTTAATCACCCTGACATCTGCTGGGAAGGCAATACATCAGTGCACAGGCAATCGAGGGACCTGTTGAAGAGTGTAGGGCATTTCTCAACCTGTGGGTTGCAACCCAAAAGTGGGTCACAAAAGTATATGAAAGGGGTGTAACAAACTTTAAAAAGTGGATCAACAAACTTTAAAAATGGATTCTCCTTTAAATGAGAAAAAAGTGGGAAATCACAGGTTTCCCCTTGAAGGCTAGCAGAGTTCCAACCTGAAAAGGGCTGCTTGGGGCTAGGGGGAGCAAAAAGACAGTGATCAGGCAGGAGGGGCACAGTGTCACCTGCTCACTATCCCATCTCTCTGGGGTACAGCCATGGCCTGAGGGGAGTGACAGCAACAGCTAGGCCCAGTGCATGAGCAGCTGGCAATAGAAAGTGATGGCAGCATGACTACTCCCAGCCTCTGTTACCCCTCATGGTGCTGGTAGCATGGCTGGTGTGGGGGTTCCAGTGACAGTGGCAGCAACGAGTCTCACCACCATGCTCTGCACTCCCGTGCAAAGTCCTGCCCGCTGGGCCATGAAGACAGGTCCTGCCTATGTAGGTCCAGCCAGGCTGCAGTCCCATGCCCTCTGTGGGTGCACAAATCTGGGAGACCTGTGCCCCCCAAATGCCACAACTCCCCCACAGGAGTTTGAGGGTGGGAGGCAGTGGGTCAGGAGTGAGGGGCAACAGGAGGGCTAGGGGACAGGGGCTGTGGGTTGGGAGTGAGGGGCACCAGCAGAGCCAGGGTGCTATTTTCTACTTTAACTATTTACTGAGTCAGGACTAGCCATCAACGTTTACAAATGGGTCTTGGTACAAAGAAGGTTGAGAACCACTTGTCTAGGGGACAACTTCCTGGTGCAAGTGTTGTAGAGGCCAGCCAGAGGCCATGCTCTTCTTGACCTGCGGCTCACAAGCAGGGAAGACTTGGTGGGAGATGTAGTAGTGGATGGCAACCTGAGCAGCAGTAACCACAAGATGATTGAGTTCAGGATCCTGAGGAAATGAAGGAAGAAGAGCAACAGAGTAAGGAGCCTGGACTTCAGTTAAACAGACTTTGACTCACTTAGGGAACTGATGGGCAGAAATCCCTGGGAGGCCAGCCTGAGACGGAAAGGAGTCCAGGAGAGCTGGATGTCTTTTAAAGACACCTTACTAAGGGCACAAGAATGGTCCATCCTGATGTGCAGGAAGACTAGCAAGTATGACAGAAGACCAGCTTGGCTTAGCAGGGAACTCTTCAGTGAACTAAAACACAGAAAGGAAGCTTACAATAAGTGAAAACTTGGACAAACAACTAGGGAGGAGTATAAAAGCATTCCTCAGCAATGCAAGGATGAAATTAGGAAGGCCAAAGCAGAACTGGAGTTGCAGCTAGCAAATTATGTGAAGGGTAACAATAAGGGTTTCTAAAAGTATGTCTGCAACAAGAGAAAGATCAGTATGAGCCCCTAACTGAATGGGGGAGGCAACCTAGTGACAGATGATGTGGAAAAGGTTGAAGTACTCCATGCCTTTTTCACCTCAGTCTTCACAGCCAAGATCAGCTTCCAGACTACTGCACCTGGAAGCACATTCTGGGGAGGAGATGAGCTTCCAACAGTGGCAAAAGAACAGATTACGAATTAGAAAAACCGGATATGTACAAGTCCATGGGGCCAGAGGCGATGCACCTGAGGGTGCTGAGGGAGTTGGCCAATATGATTTCAGAGCCTCTGGCTATCATCTTTGAAAAGTTGTGATGATTGGGAGAAGTCCCAGATGATTGGAAAAGGGCAAATATAGTGCCTATCTTTAAGAAAGGGAAGAAGGAATATCCAGGAAAATACAGACCAGTCAGCCTCACCTCAGTCTCTGGAAAAATCAAGGAGTAGGTCCTCAAGGAATCAATTTCTAAGCACTTGGAGGAAAAGAACAGTCAGCATGTATTCACCAAGTGCAAGTCATGCCTAAGCAACCTGATTGCCTTCTATGATGAGATGACTGGCTCTGTGGATGAAGAAAGAGCAGTGGACATGATATACCTTGACTTTAGCAAGGCTTTCGATATAGTCTACCACAACATTCTTGCAAGCAAGATAAGGAAGTACAGGTTGAATGAATGGACTGTAAGGTGGACAGAAAACTAGCTGCATTGTTGGGTTCAAAGGGTAGTAATCAAAGGCTCAATTTCTAGTTGGCAGCCAATATCAAGTGCAGTTCCCCGGGGGTCAGTCCTGGGGCTGGTTTTGTTCAATATCTTCATCAACGACCTGGAATATAGGATGAAGTACACTCTCAGCAAGTTTGAAGATAACACCAAACTGGTGGGAGTAGTCAATAGGCTGGAGGATAGGGCTAGGATTCAGGGAGGCCTCAATAAATTGGAGGATTGGACCAAAAGAAATCTCATGAGGTTCAATAAGAACAAGTGCAAAGTCCTGCACTTAGGATGGAACAATCCTATGTACAGGTTGGGGACTGACTGTCTAAGCAGCAGTTCTGCAGAAAAGAACCTGGGTTTAAACTGACAA